ACTGTATTTGCCAATACATGAATCACTGCAGTAGTCGCAGGACAATGACACTGTATTTGCCAATACATGAATCACTGCTGTAGTCACGGGACAAGGACACTGTATTTGCCAATACATGAATCACTGCTGTAGTCGCAGGACAAGGACACTGTATTTGCCAATACATGAATCACTGCAGTAGTCACAGGACAAGGACACTGCATTTGCCAATACATGAATCACTGCAGTAGTCGCAGGACAATGACACTGTATTTGCCAATACATGAATCACTGCTGTAGTCACAGGACAAGGACACTGTATTTGCCAATACATGAATCACTGCTGTAGTCACAGGACAAGGACACTGCATTTGCCAATACATGAATCACTGCAGTAGTCGCAGGACAATGACACTGTATTTGCCAATACATGAATCACTGCTGTAGTCGCCGGACAAGAACACTGTATTTGCCAATACATGAATCACTGCAGTAGTCGCAGGACAAGGACTCTGTATTTGCCAATACCAACACTGCACCAACTAATTTAGAATGTTATAAACATTCAAAACTGAGTAACAGCCAATTTCGAACCAAACATTTGATGCTTTCGTGCTGCCATTGTTCATAAAAGTTTAAACGACCAGGGGTGCTACTTTTAGAACTTTTTTATTGCATTTGGCCTGAAATAGCATTTTATTTCAATTAATAGAAAAACGATTACTAGATATGTATGCTATATTTGAATGTTGTTGAATGCATTAAATTGAAAAAAAAATCAGTATTTTCCGAACATTCACTTGGCAGAGTGATTAAAGGTGCAAAGTTATAAAGTAAAATTAAGATAGCGTAAGTGATTACTTTTGCAATACTACGTACTTCTAATACGCCAAGATTATAGTTTACATTATAATTGGATTACTGTTGATCTGATGTAAAATGACGTCAATATCTAAAAAATGAAAATCATTGAAAGTGGTAATATTCAAATGCACGTATGTGAAAAATTAATGTAATAAGTGTAATCCCAAATAAATCTTTCTGGTAACGTTATCACAAAAAAACTCACCAGTCATAGCCCCCTTCAGCGTACACTGGGTTATATGTAGTTCTACCATGATTGTCCATTCCATACATATTCTCATCATTCTCAGTCTTAACTAGCAAGGTGTCCGGAGGAGACATTTTATGAGTTTCCGCTTCCCTATAATCACGTATGAAATTCGAGATTACTAAATAACTTTCATCTAAGCAGTTCAATCAGTTCAAGTTATTTGACATTCCATAAATTTGGTCGTCTCTTATAAACTAGTAGTTAAAATTACCATTTGTTTTGTCAGCACACAACGTGACATTCAGTCAACAATAGTGATAGTGGTACAATATAGTCATAATCATTGTAATTGACACACCTTTGAGGTTAAATAAATACTACAAACTGTCAGAGATATCACCTATTGGACATGCCGATATTTACCAGTGAACAATAATTTAATTAAAGGTTCATGAGAAAACCAATGCATTGTTTATCTTTTGAAATTTCTCACTTACTTAATGTACTTGCCAAACATTACGTGGTCCACAACATATGGGCTATGTGCAACGTCCTCGTTGATATACGTACGATTTGGTGTTCTTTTCTGATTTGGTGGTTTCTCAGAGCCATGTCTAAAAATAATTATGCATAATAACGGTTAATGAAATGTTATTAAACATGAAACGTGTTGTCTGGTTATTTTTGTTCAATGCCAATTGCGAAATGTCGTCGTCTTTTGCAAAGGTCGTCGACTTGAAGTATCATGTATAGATATTTAAAGATTTCTAAACCTGATAGATTTATCAATAGCAAAGTTGACACCAAAGTTCTATGCCGTGATGACCAAAGATATGAAATCGTTTTATTTTGTTTATTTTTACTTGAACATTGATTACTGGACGAATAGTGAACAAATGTTGGAAAACATATCATCAAACCACGGTATGTAGGACGATTCTTTACATATGGCAAGTCTGAAAACCCAAATCTTCTTTATGGTCTCTTACTTATTCACAAATACAGTGTCTAAAACTATCGAACATGTAGTGCTTTTATCCATGTGGTTGTCTTACTTGTAGACTGAAATTTCCACTGTAACTGGATTCACTCTCAACTATGACTGACTTGTATATGCACAGCCTTGTGAATTTCAAATTACTCACTATGATATGGTGTTGACTGTAGGCTATTTCGTGTTGTCTCTTGCGTGTAATTGCACGCAGTGATTTATGCGTGTCCGTGTGACTTCAGTAATAGCAGGATACTAACACACTTCTGATATTGTACAGGTATGTAACAAATAAGTTATTTGTAAGTTTATATTTATGCATATGTTATATCGCATGTACATGGCAATCATACATATACGTAAATACTAACCTGTGGTTTCTTGGTTTAATTGAGCATGTAATGCAAATCCAAACCACGCACAATACTATGACCACTACCACAATAACAGCCGAGGACACAGCTACAATCATCACCAATGATTTGTTCTCTTGATTCATTGTTTCTACATTGACGATTCACAGCATTCATCATGAAATGAAAAATAGAGCAATATATAACTCAATTGCAGATTATAAAGGAAAATAGTAACGTACGACTAGTTAACATATTCTATGTACAACGAAATTTTTAAACTAGAAAATGAACTCTCATGAAGTAGAAGTAGATTCAGGTTTTTATCAACTTAATGTTCTACATGTCATAATTACAGCAAGTTTATGATAAACGCGGACTATAGTGCAGAATGTTACGTCACTGTAAGAGATGATATATTTCAAAACCTGACCGAGACAATTATACAACATACTTTCACATGAAGGTGACACATCGCTCCACAGACCACTGGCCAGGCATTTAATCTCAGCTACTCCATTCATTGTGTATCCTTCATCACACGAAAACTGCAAGATTTCCCCATATGTAAACAGCTCACCATTCACGTTTCCATGTGATGGTGCAATGACTACGCCGCAATCTGTGACTGAATGGTGCACATAATGGTAAACGAAAGCAGTTCAAGATATTTATTATATTAACTCTGTAAATAATAAATCTATACATCGAACAGTTTTATATCGTTTTGAGAAGCAAAGTTAAATAAATGGTGGAATAAAAATAATATATGATAGTTATGTAAATTAACTACATCAACTGAACTATGTGCAAAATACTTTTAGGATGAATCATATTTGTTTATTTCATTCCCTGCATTATAATTGCGTAGATCCATGTTGAATGGATTCATTAGGTATCTTACCTTCACATTCCGGTGATACATCACTCCATTCTCCACTTGCCAAACATTTTATCTCAACTGCTCCATTCAGTGTGTATCCTTCGTCACACGAAAACCTTAGGACTTCTCCATAAGTAAATACCTTGCCACGTACGTTACCCTGGAACGGAGCTATAACGCCGCCACACTCTACAACTAAGACACAATGTTTTTAATTACCTCCATGAATGTGCATACAACTCAGCAGTACGTGTACTCAATAAGAAAATGAATAACTGACAGAATGATTGCACACACAGTTCAGTGATCTAACGTGTGTGATTATTACATCACTTGGCAAAACAATATATAATTCTACATTTGACATTTGCATTTACAACGGAAATCGACAATAGGAACATTGACCAAAAATCCTACTTTCACATGAAGGCGTTGAATCATTCCACTGGCCACTTGCCAAGCATTCGATTTCAGTCACTCCATTTATTATGTATCCTACATCACACGAAAAAGTCACGATTTCCCCATAGGTAAACATATCGCCATTAACGTTACCGTGAGATGGTGCCATAACCTCCCCACACTCGACGACTGAAACACATTATGTCGAAGTTAGATTTCTACACATGACACATTGTATAAATCAGGACATAGTATTATGTTACACTGAGTAAACACCGAGTATTCAATATTTGTATCTGGTGTGAGTCGTATAATTCTAAGTTAGAACAGAGTGGCCAATGGATTACTGCATGATGACTGACCTGTCCACTCATAAATCTTTTCACAACATAAATATACATTTCTCAATCAACACAAAATGCATAGGCAATAACCAATTATTTTTCCAATTAACTGTAGTCGAAAAAATATTTACAAAGTAACTTACTTTCACATACAGGTGATATATCACTCCACTGACCACTTGCAAAACATTCGATCTCAGCTGTTCCATTCAGTGTGAACCCTTTCTCACACGAAAACCTTAGGATTTCTCCGTATGTAAATAACTCATCACTTACGTGTCCATGTGTTGGTGCATTGACTACGCCGCAATCTATGACTGAATGGTGCACATATGTATATTTCATTACTACATAACTTGACAAAAAATATAATTCTGTATTTGAAATTTGCATTTTATGAAATATGATTGATGACATATCACTAGTATCGATGCACTACCTCTTATTGAATCTTTTTTGATATCAACATAACTTAATGAAATTAACCGTAATCGACAATAGGAACATTGACCAAAAATCCTACTTTCACATGAAGGCGTTGAATCATTCCACTGGCCACTTGCCAAGCATTCGATTTCAGTCACTCCATTTATTATGTATCCTACATCACACGAAAAAGTCACGATTTCCCCATAGGTAAACATATCGCCATTAACGTTACCGTGAGATGGTGCCATAACCTCCCCACACTCGACGACTGAAACACATAATGTCGAAGTTAGATTTCGAAGCATGATAGTCGTAACTAATGTGAAAACTTTACTTTTCTACTTTTTCTACACATATATAAAATTGTTTGAATCGATTTGACAGACAGTTGTGTTAGAAAACGGCACTTACTATTACATGCGGTCGTGTAATTATCCCAAGTGCCATCGTCAAGGCACTGACTTGTTGCAGAACCACTCAGAGTAAAACCAGGCAGGCAATGAAACGTTATTACTGAACCTGTTATGTAGGATGACCCGGTTTTAATGCCATACGTTGGCGTCTCGAGATATCCACATGTTGTGACTGAAATGAATAAAACCATTAATTATTATCGTCACTGACAACTGGCCTATCAAAAATTGAAACTAATAAGTACCTTGCATGGTTCCATTGATCACAGCCTCATATATATGTGATGCTTCGAGCGATCCTAGTGCAGTCTCTGTGTCGTTGGTTATTTGCAAATCGAAGATACATTCCCTATTATCGCCACATATAGCAATGACGTCATCGGTGATGTCAGATTCGATAATGCCAAACATAGGTTGGTAAGTGATGTCTGTTAAGGAAGAATGTGTTTCACTAATTTTGTATCGAAACAACGATTCTTCTGCAGATATTCTCCCTGAAGACAAACAAGATGTGGCATTATATTATTAGGCGAGCGATACCATATAAGGATAAGTCGTGTAGTAATTATTTTGTTTCGATCTAATATTTTGACAAAGAACTAAAGAAAATTAATATTGAAAAAATCTGATATTGCATTGTAAAGTATATATTCTTTGTCACATGTGCGATTTGCCATACAAAGTCTTATTTATAAAGTTGAGATAATATATTCTTTAATATATATATTTCAGAAAATACTTCTAGCTTCACAGACTAAAAAGTAGATTACCTACTGAACAAAAGTGTTTTACACAGTCAGGTTGATGTTGATATGTCATGTATTGAAGTTAGAGGCGGTTGTTTTAAATGGCAGAACGTGATCATATTGTCATAGATGTGCAATTACATTCTTATATGAAAAATCGCGTGCAAACATACTTATATCTGTATGGCATATTTTAATACACACAAACTAGCACCAGATAATTTGTCAGCGCGTATTCAATACCTGTAGAAAGTTTGATTTCATCGTCTTTAGATATTCAGTAAATGTTGAGGAAAAAACACACCAATTCACCACTGACATAATGAGCAGTATTATATAACGACACAAACATGGCTTTTATTCGTTTTTGTTATGTCCGAGATTCGGCATTGCCTTTTACTCACAGTAGGCGATTTTCACAACAAGCCGATTTGAACAGAATTGTTTGTGCGAGTGGCGTGGTAGGTAGCGCGTCACTCTGCAAAGCTGAATTGACTGCAATAAACGCGATTTTAAATTTCGAAATTTACGCTGTAATGTGGTCATTTGCATGAACGATAGCCATTTCTTTATTCTTAGGTGTAACTCCATTTTATCAAATAAAAGTTAAGTAATGCCTATGTATCTCTACCAATCCACATACATTATTTCAAGTTTTAAAGTTCTAATAAACATAATAATGTACGTGTGTAATTAGGATCCAATATTTCTTTTTACACACGTACACAAGTAATGTTGTGAATCTGTAGTTCTCATGGATCTTTTTACAGATAGAAAACATGGCATTCGATGGAAATTCTATAAAATTGTTTCACGCAACAAGTTCCGATTGTAACAAAAATCAACAGTCATACGAAAATGTGTTGCTTACATGTCAAGCCGAAGTCATGGTGAATTTGCTGGAGTGATGAATTAACTGATACATATACCCCATTAGATGCGAGAAGATCGTCCCCTGTGTTGTCATTCCAAGTACCTAGCAATCCAACTGTCCGATTTTTAAATGTAGACGGTGCAAGAATTACGGCGGACAATGCTTTTCCTGCAATTGAAACATCAACTGATATCCCGGATTGAAAGATGACATTGATTTTGTTTGTACCATTCGTTTTGTAAACTGAAACTCCTGTCAAATATCAGAAATGAGACATGATTGTATTAGAAAGAAAGAAATCAGTGTTCAATAGCACAATGTACATAGCCATGTACAACAATAATACATTATAAACACATTGTCTTGTAATGGCTTCCAATATATCAACTTCATTATTTACCATTGAAGTCCCACCAGTGGTTATCTTCGAAGTTCACGATTTCCCATGTTTGGTGACCTTTGATCCTGACATAAGCATCAAGAAATCTTCTTTCCCTTGCTATATGAACAGTGTCAGACATATTGGTTTGCATTGCCATGGCAGTGAATACAGTTGCATCCGCTGCTTATAAAAAAAAGTATATATATATAAAATTAAATAAATTCTTAAATAAATACATATTTAAATAGATACATTCTTAAACAAAAAAAACAACGTATATATACATAGAATTAAATAAATTCTTAAATAAATCCATTTTTAAATAGATAAATTCTTAAAAAAATAAATAAATAAATCTTACAATTATCTGCTAAGGGAGCCATACGACCTTGAAGTGTGAAACCCCTATTGTTTATATCTATCAAGGTGAATTCTCCATAGCCATTAAAGGTGTAAGACAATCCATCTAAAGTTTTCAAGTGAGGATCTCCAAACCATGTAGCTATAACATAATAATATAATACGACTGAGGAATTTACATTTTGTTCTAATTATCTCACTACAATTTAAAATTACCGCTTATACGTATCTTTTTTTACCAATGCCACATGAATATATTGATACTTTTTTTTTTATAAAAAAAAAAGGTATACCGAGAAGCTTAACTAAACCTGTGCATTACCTGGACGTGGTGCTTCATATCCGGAACAGTCGTGTGAGGGTCTTCTTGCAAAGAATTTCCCACACTTAACGTCATCAAAGTCTGTATGAAGACAACAATACCTCCAAGGTAACAGATCTTCCAGAAAATGCGAGAGATAAGGTACCTTTCCGACTTCAATATAAGGTGCTACGCCCTCGTGATGTCTGAGATGATAGGCTCCTGAGCCGAACGCATCTCCGGAATTTAAAATAGTGCCATCCGCTTCATAGCAACATGCGCGCCCACTTCCATCATCACTAAAAAAATGTGTTAGGATTGTTACATAGTAGAGTAGAAAGTTAACATTTGAATTCTGATTTTACAATTCTGATGACACTAATCATGTACTGGTTTAATGTTATTATCACATGTATATACAAATCACAACCTTTTTAAAGTACATTCTAAGTGCGCCTGCAAATAAATTAACTACAATTGTTAGCTCATTTTAAACTTTACATGCTGTGCATGATTCTCTGTTTACCTTGGTACATTAGCTCGTATGCAGTGAACTGCACCTGGCATATCAACACAGTTGTCATCTGTCACAGATCTCGTCGAACAGCGAGGATGTGGTGAATAGCGTCCAATATCAGCAAAAGCTTGCTGTAGAGTACATGGACAAGGCACAGTATCTTTGAGCGATGGCGAAACATTTTCGTCGCTTTTATGCCAGTTGTAGCACCAGTCCCCTGCATCAATGCCGTGTACCCATGCTAGCTCATGGACGTCACTCCACAATGCATGAAAGTTTCTGGAGAGAGTTCAGACAACATAACAAAATAATTTGAGCGGGAAACTGAAATAATTTGTAACTTGCATATACATATAATTGGATACAATAAATGGGTATATTATTTATTATACTCTATGCATTTATAACAAGTACATTTTTGAAATTGAAATCGTATTTACTTACGTAGCGTCGGTGTTTTCCTCGTCATGCCCTGATATACGTAAAGCGCCAATACTATATAGTGGGCTTGGATTAAATTCGCTTTTTTCAAAGGCAAGTTGTCCTCCATTATCATATCCACTTAAAACTGCTCCAGTGTCAATCCAACCAAATTCACCAGAATGATGATCTTCCATGTATCCGTATAATTTGATATCCACATACCTTGACGACGGCAACAATGAACTATCCCATTGTAGTTCAACCATATTCACTGAATGGTCAAGCCACGCGGCCATGTTTGTTCTTGTAACAAGAGATACTTTCCTTTCGATGTTTACTGCAAAAAAAAGTATTATACAATAATATACGTAGAAAGTGACTCAGTGGATCTCGGGCCCTGATGCAGACAATAAACTCTTCTAGATAGCGCATACCTGGAAAGTTTGAAGAACGATAACGAGTTCAAGGTTGTCACTGGTCTCGTTCCTACTGACGGTATTTGTTCCAGGCTCGCACTCAAACTTGATCTACACACAAGCCTACATAAAACTATTGTACATAACTAATTCAAGACGACTGAAGTTTATGGACGTAACCCATCAATAATATGGACATGGTCTAGTAGGACCCTGGTCTATAATAGTTGCAATATTCGCTTGCCGAGTTAGCCCGAGTTACGACTGCTAACACAAGCAAGTATACAGATGTGCCGGATATCTGAATGTTTATTAAATTGCAATATCAAACAGTTATTTTCTTAGCCAAAACGTTCTCCCAAAAGGGATAAACCGCAAAAAGTGTATGATTGCGTGAACTGTGATGTGTTTGTGATTGTTTGTCTGCAATATCAGGAAGAGTCATGTTTTGTTATTTTACGTAAACAAGCCAGTAAATAAGCAGCACGTGACACATTAGAAATCAATAGTAGCCAATTTGTAACTAATAGACATTTAAGTCAAACATAAATAGAATGATCGAATATTGGCATAAGAGTGTCAAAGTCGTGATCATGAATATAATATAATTAAAGAAAGCTTAGAAAGAACTCCCGTGTGCTGAGAGTATTTGGAGAGATATTAAAAATGAATTATCCTTCCAAACAAGATACTCATAATATTTACCTCCTATTTGTACTTTTACAACATGGAAACAATGTCATCAACATTATTAAAATTTACAATACTTACTGAAAATATCGGTGGTTTTCAGTCTAATTTATTCCAGGGCACCTATACCACAAGTTCAATTTAAATTTGATATTTTAAGATATCAGAAATTGGCTGGATAACCAATATGCATGTCTGTGAATGTATATAAACCCCAAACTAATTAAATTGTTGCATTGTCTTCATGTACTAAGATTCATTGAAATAATATAAGTACATGAGGTATTGATGGAAAAGTTTGCGATCCTGAAAATCGATTTATAGAGACCATTCAGTTCGTGTTATGTAATAATGTTGTTAGTGACGCGAGAACCGACTCGGAAGCGTCGGAGAAACAGGAAATTACACAGCACTTGCACACTGCTAATTGTTTTAAATATCACGGGAAAAAGGTTTCTGAGTTGTTTGGGGATTGGTGTTGATTGACGATTTCACACCACTGATATTTACTTACAGCTTGATCAGCGTAATATTTTATGAAATAAGAATCCGGACTTGGGCTGTCAATGTGTTACGACCAAGTAATGTTCAATAAGATGTCATAATTATGACGGTGACGACCATGGTCACCAGCTACACCAGAAAGGACATATTTTGCATCTATCTCAACCCTATGCGATAAACTTAATATTATAAGTTCATTATGGTCTGTTCTTTTTCGACGAGCAAGTACATGAGTGGGAATTTAGACAAAGACGAGAAAATTGTGTAAAAAATGTGCCTTATATACATATCGGCAATGCATATTTCTGTATGCAAATGAGGAGCCTCGTTTTAAAATACACAAAAGTAAAGTTTTCGTAGACTGATTTATCCTTAGAAACATAAATATTGATGTACCAATGAGTATTTTTAGGCGAGAAAGTAGCAGGCATTTCACTCTAAAACGACGCGGTTTCTTCTGAATGATGAACGTCGGGAAATTATGGCATCATGTGAGGGCGCACTTCCCATAGCGTTAAAATGCCGGGCAATAGTAGGTATATAATAAAATAAATTAAAATAAAAAAAGGCAAAGAATGAGACAAACAAACAGCAAATCGTCAATTTACTGAGTGCACGAGACGTGAATATATTGCGGATACCTGGCAAATTATTCATTTGAAAGTAAATTTATTGAGTTTTGTGGAGATGGTTGTGGTTGTGGTTGTTGAAGTTGTAGTGATGGCGTCAGTAACAGTGAAGATAATGTTGGCGATGGCTCGTAACTTCGCAACTGACAGTGGTTCCCTTTGACCATGTATAGGTGGCAACACTTTAAGCTGATATACGAAAAACGTGTGTTTTTTGATAAGGTTTGTGTGGAATATACCATGTTAGTGATTGGAAATAATGCACCAACATGGTTGAACAACAACCGGTTGGCTGTTGGGAGCGGTTTGATGTAATAAACATCATCTATCTGCATGTCATGTTGTTGTATTAAAAGGACTATCGGGAATGCTGTGTACATTTGAACTGCATATTGCTGGTGGTAGAAGACGAACATGGAAATAAAATTGAATAAATCAGATTGTTTATATTCGTCTCCTGTTGCAGTCTGTGAAGCAGGAGGGTCGTCACCTGCGCACGCGCGGGAATTGAGTCCCAAGCGATGATAACAACACACGCTAAAAACGCAAAAGCTCATGGGTAGACGCTTGTTTGTAAACAATGACAAGCTATGGCCACCTGACGCATGCGCTGGTGACGACTCCCCCAGCTTTAAACTTGCCATCTTATTATTTTAGCGGCATATTTTACCAGAAAAAATATTCACCAAGACACAATGGGCTTATGCTCAATTAACACATATCGAAATAAGGGCAACTTCAATTGTTGTGGTTAAATGGCGACAGAAGATACTTGAATGACTCCTGTTCATTTGTTTTTCCCAAGGTTGTTCAAAATGACGTCTCTTTCTTTTCCCAAGGCTCTCAACTCCGTTTTATTCGTCACAGAGCAAGGGATGGGCCCCCGTTTTCACATACACACGTGCACAGTTATCGTGTACGGTTGATATAGAATATTTAACATCAAGACTGGCTATATTACGCTCACCGAGTTTTAATTTAAATGCTTTTCTTTTAAAGGGGAACCGCTCAATCCCATGGATTGCACCAAGTGCTCATGGGTAATTAACTCCGCCTTCGTTCACTGAGTGAATGAATGCTTATCTTCCCCCCTGTCTCGCTAATCCCACAAATCAACAACTGATATAAACATGCTTTGAACGGATTACAATTTGTTTGTTTAAATATAACATAACAATTGAATTTCAAACACAGAGCTAGCTTCATATTCCATGATGTGAAACATCGCGCGCCCCAGAATATATACATCAACGGACAAATATAACGCAGAACTAGAATAATTCAAGTTGATGATAGCTCACCGGATATTAAACACAAAACGAATCACGAATGAAATCCACGAACTCCAGTTTTTGTTGCGTCGGTCTATTGACGGTACTGATCTCATATACAGTAAAAATGAGAGCGAAACTTATTACACGGATATTCCCCGTGATAAAATAACAAAATCATTAGTAATAAAAGGCTTGTATCTCGTGTGAGATTTGAGTTCCTGTGGTCTGGCAGGCGAACGTGGGGTTGACTTTACAGACAAACTCAATTGAATGGCGAGAAAGATGAGATCGTTCAGTCAAAACAATTAGACTCCATTACTAGCATTAGACCGTAGACTCAATGTTAACGTCCAATCTACAGCGTTGTAATTATAACAAAGTCGACGTTGTTTCAATATATGGCGCGACTACGACTACTGGTTATGCTGCCAAAACAAATATATCAGGCGATATCAAGTGTCTTGAACAGACACCAGCAACAAACGTCCTTTTTCAGGGCCAAAATACGAATCCAAAAATAGAATATAAATATACACATATACTCGATTTAATTTTCTGGACATATATGCGACGCTTGAACGAAAACGATCTATTGTAAAAGATATGAATTGGAACTGCCTGTGACGTGTTGTCTGGACGCCGTTTCGTCCTGCAGACAAATACAGAAACAAAATCTGATTTATTTTCTTGTGCCAAGATCTGGTTGTTCATGCATTTCATGAATGGCGTATTTACTTTATGTATTTTGACACTGATTTGTGTTGTGGAAACATTTAATTTCGCGGTTTTGAGCTGTCCAAGTATTTCGTGAAAAATAAAACAAAAGGTAACACCACATCAAGCAGTCTGCCAATGTCTTGTTGATATCCGACATTTGCAACCTCTAACAGAACGGTTATTTCAAGCATGCCTACCAGTATTTAGTAACAACTATCTGCAGCTCATTGTAGTCGGACACTTATTGACTGTACCCCTTATTTTTTCAGACGGTCTATAAAGTTATACAATAAGTATCAACCCTTAGAAAACACAAGTGTTCGCCGTACGATCAGAAGGAAAAATGTCCATAAACTAATAACCAACATCGTTTTGGCCATACGAATCGATCAGTTCATCAAAAAAATCACCTGGTGACAAAACACACTCAACATAATTAATGTAATATGCATTTATTTTTTTATTTTTTTTGGTAACTAAAGTATATGCTAAAAGAAGTTTCAAATTAAAAACGAACACAACTGCATCGCTTAGTAGCAAATAATCACGGTAGCGCGACCCGATCATGCTGCGTTTCACAATTGATTATTACTTGGTAGTGATTATTAATAAGGTACAAAAACTAAATTTGTCGAATTGTTATGAAATACAAATAAATTTCAACGTAGTTTCATCGTAAGCGAATGATTCCGGTCGCATGTAAATACTCGATGCGATACCTTGGTCAAATCGCTAATCAACCAATCAAAATACTGGGTGATTACCATAGCTCATTCAACACGGAAGAGATTTGCCGATGTTCTAGTACGATCTTTTACCTTTGATTTTGATAGGAGAACGGCATGATTTTTTTAAAAAAAATAACTGTTTTCAAAGATAAACTGAAGATTTGAAAACTAATTTAACATTATTTACGGTGATAACAGCTCATTAAACATCGTACTCTTGAAAAGGTGTCAATGACTACGGTAAAACTTGTAAGATCGTGGGTCAGGGGCGAGTGTTGTTTTGACTTAGGTATTATGTTTTACATTCCAACAGGACATTTTTCATGGTTTTAATTTCGCGCCTTTGGACTCACCGCAAAATTAAACCATGCGAATAATTTCTACTTCTACAGTTATTGTAATGGATATTTGAGAGCCCGTAACTTAATGTTATTGACGTTGTTTACTGTCTTACATCGTCATGTCCCAGTGTTACGGATGCTTAGACCAAAGGCAAACTATGTAACGATAATGCTGTTTGTAAACCAACAAGCTTTGTAGATTGAATAAACATCTAGGGGATTTACATTTTCGTTTACTCAAACTGTGATTGGCAGGCATTTTGCATACATTAACCGCCATTTTAAACGCGTGATTTTACTTGTTGCGACACGTTTCGACCAAAAACAACACAATTTATACATCAAAAGCCCAACCAGATGGTTGTAATCGCTAGCGTACATATTCATGCCCCAGTAGATATGTATTTGGAATCGCAGCTTGATCTCCAAACATCGTAAATGGCACATTTCACAGAGCTCTCGCCACGATGTGGTGACCATCTTGCCCCTTATTTATAGTTATTATGTATCGGTTCCCCTTTAAGTTTCTGTCGCCTGTCAGCTATATCACATTCCAGTGGCGTTATATAATTGTCGCCAATATCTGCAATCCAAACATTATGGGCGGCTCATCTAAATCGACCCACTCTGGTTGACTCGGTCATTTTCAGTTTCGTTTTGACTTCGCAAGACTTTCACCATTGTCGTTCTCGTAATTGATTTGGTAAACGTAAACTTTACCAAACTTACTGGGAAAATAGTTTCTTCCACCTTCTGCACAAAACCATCATGACAAAAAGTCGACTGTATATAAACCTGACGCATTTCGTATTATCAAAGTATAACCTTTACTTAAACAAGCGAGCTGGAACTCGAAAAAGCTCCGCTGTCCGAACATTGAGGTAACCGAGTAATGCAAACCCATAAGACAAAACACATTCAAATTTAGTTTAGTTTTGTTCAAAAATATGCCAAACCGACTTCAACAAACAAATTCTTCACAAAAACTATGTACACCTCACGTGTTAAATTAATCAGGCTGGTAGTTTTCAGGAAGAAGACAAAAATATCATTTTTCAGAAAAACAAAAAGTGCCATGCTATCAATAAGCCCCACCACGCCCACTCTGTATATAACGTCTAGTCGGTCTTTTATAATGAATTCAATGCCTCTGTCTGTTGTTAATTACCATGTTCTATTTTGGTAGTAATTTTGGTATCAGATTTAATTTGTTTGTTATGGTCACTCAATATGTATGTGAGAAGTGTATTAGTATTATATCATTACATATTTACACGTGGTCGTAAATCTACATTCTAAACACAAACAAATGTCACTCACCTATATTAAAAATCCCAGTGTATGGGTATGTAGTACCATCGTCTATAGAAACCTGAAAATTTATCCGTCCAATCTCATAAAATATAGGTGTAATGCACGAAACCTGTGTCTGACTCTCTTTGGTTCCTTCTGTATAGCTACTACCAAATTTACATAGGATTTTAGATGAAACAAATGAGTCATTAAAACACACTCCTGAGACGATCACGTGGTCACCGCCCAGCATGGAACCAGTTGTGGGATATATCGTCAATGACCCTAGAAATAACAATAGCTTGGAGTCAGCTTATACATCATCGATACCACACAGTTTTAACTTTATGTGTACCCAACCCCTCACCATGTCAGATCGATATTTTTTGTTTGTATGCTGTGTCCAACATGTTTTCTAGCGAAACCTTTTACGGGAACCTTTTACTTATGTAAATCAGATTTCCCCCTGAAATTAGTTCAAAACAAATTACAACTGTTTTCAATTGGAGATATAAACATCATCAACAATTAGATTTATTCGCCAAAGCTACATTTGGCTTAATAATAAAATATTTCCTTAGAGGGATGTGTGTTATGTTGGTCAGCCCTCACACTGCTTTTCTGAGTGGTTTAGGTTGTAGGACTTAAATTTTTGAACTAAAATATGATTGTGTTCATATTCAGAGATTTACCAATATCGCCATCCAACTAGACGGCCTTACAGTTAGATTAAAATTTCGGTTTTAAATACCGCGGGAAAGTATTTTATGTTATTCGTGTAAATAGGTTGCCTTTTTGTTATCCAAACGGGTCATTTAGCTGTGAATGTTTAGTATTCTTTTTCCTGATTTGTAGGAACCTGAAAAACACGTTTCCCAACTTGACACGTTATGTAGTTTCAAATCGCGTTCAAGATGACTGCCCCATATAATAATATCAGTAAAATAATCACATTTAAGATTTCATTATTTTGTATTTGCCCAAAATGACATTTGGCTATTGATCTACGGTTTGGTGTGTTATTTCCACTTTCCCATTAAGAGTATTTATTAACGAAAATGTATTCTTACCTTCCGTATTGCATCCAACTCCTCTAACATTTCTTTCGTCAACCCGGAATACGTATCGCCCAGTCACACCCACATTGGTAGTAGTCTCAATATTCACTATTTCATGAGTAAATGATGTAGGTACTGTAAAGTATGTTGAATTGTCTCCTGCGTTAAAGCCAACCTGACCAAGATACAGTAAAATGAAATAACTTGCAATGTTAACAGATTAGTACAATAATTCAACAATAACCACACAAGCATAACTAATTGTATTGGATGGATGTATGGTAGTCAGTATGTTCGCAAAAAATGCCAATGATGGAATTGTATTATTTTATTGATGATATAATCCAAACGTAATAAAGCATACGAGACACTTATGAATGACATTGAATGAAGTTTATTTCACCAGATGCCTTTACACTCTAAATAGTCGCATGATAATTTATTTAATAATATGGCCTCTAATGGGGTCAACGAATAGTTTGATCAAACTAACCTAGATTGTGGTCCCGAATCCTATATATTAAGCAATTAAACGTAAACTAAGCGTAAATGGGATATGAGAAAACTATATACAATCCTATGTTTACTATTATATGGGATTTTCTTACATGTATTTGTTGAATTTGAAAGTTTCATAGTTTGGTGGCTTTATAGTTTCAAAAATGTATGGTATGTATTCTCCAAAATGTTAATACAATAACTAAAATGTTGCAGGAACATGGAAAATGGGGATATATTTTGGAACATAATGACGTAACTAGGAAATAATTTCCACTTTGGAAGCTATTACTTTCTTTATTTTTCTATATGGAATTTCCAGTTGACGTACTGTTTTATAGCTATATCTGAATATTTGGTAGAGCCAACACACTCTATGTATATACCATATATACCAAGGCTGCTCTCCATTCTCATTGTTCCTTATTGAATTTTAATAATCATATAACTTGTTTTCCTTACAATACCCACACTCTGTTGATAATGGTTAGGTTATTACTTCTGTCCTATGTGAATTTGAACAAGTTTGTGTCATCGGCAATAGACCAGAGTTTATATTGTAATTTTTATATACCAGAAATAAAACTAGATCCAGAATCGATCCTTGTGAGACGCGTCTTTGGATTTGCTTGTGTAAAGAGGAAGTATTAAGTATACTCACAAATTATTATCGATTACTTAAAGGACAACTCCGTAATACCGTGGTGATGTGGTTTAGTAAACAGAATAAGGTTTATCTTATCAAATGCCTTTTTGAAATCATTAAATATATCAAAGGAATACATTATCAATGTTTTCAGAAATATCTGAAATTAAGTCTACAAGGCAACTTTGGCTCTTCGCTTCTTCAAAAACTTAGTGTTTGTTTAAATTAAAGTAAATTATATTAGTTTGCTGAAAATGGGTAATATTTTCAGTGGATCAGGGAAAATTCTTTGTTTCAAAAAACATTAATAACATGGGCCAATGGGTCAGCCATCAAATCAGATGCGTGGACAACAAGCTGGAGTGAATGTAATTACTACCAATGGCATTTCGTGGAAAAAGAAAACGTCAAAGAAGTTTCTAGATATTTTCGAAAGTTTACGGGATCTGTGATGTCAGATGCAAGATTTGCAAGTGTTGTGTTTGTTATTGCACAATTAATCTTTTGTGGAACAAATCTGTCAAAATTGTGTTTACAGTTGCACATTTTTGTTTATAATGCCAATGCGAAGTTAAATTTATTTGCATACTGTTTTATTTGGAGGCATTTGGAGAAATTTATTTTAGCTCAGTGCAAAAAATTGTATTTAAACCCATATATAATAACAGTTCAGTCTGTATCCCGGAAATCCGATTGGTCCGTGAAATCAGATTGACACATCATGAGTGACTATGACTAAATCAATCAATATCGTGAATATTGGTGGTTTTACTCGGGTTATTCTTATATATTAATTAAAATATTACTAGTAAATCTGAAAATTAATGATTTACTCTTGAGGTTTGTTCATTGTTTTTTCGGAAATCATCCCTAATTTGCGAACAGTTCGAATAATTATAATATTATCTGCTAAACAAAGTATCGTGTATTACTTGAGTCGTTCTTAATATAAATAATCAATAACCATCAAACAATACGATTATATTCTGTATATATTACATTGCGTACGTTGTTAGCATTTAAACTTGAATATTTGCACGTCATTTCAAGATTTGTTAAATTTCATGGGAAATGTGTTGTTTTGTTTTGGGCTGTAAAGATCTCGGCTCTTGAATGTTAGTCTGTCGCTTGTACCTACCAATATCATCGATGTGACATTTTGCAACGGAATATGGAATATAACAATACAAACAGACCATTAGAAATGTGATGAAATAATTGATTGTGAATGAATAACATTCTCGGTGTTGTCACTTGAAACTGGGACAAGAGAATAGCCTTTTACAAAACTAGTTAATCAATCACGGTAAAATGAATGAATGGACGAATGAATGAATGAATGAATGAATGAATGAATGAATGAATGAATGAATGAATGAATGAATGAATGAAGTTTATTTCACTATAAACATATATACATATAATAATATACAAATAAATGTGATGTATAAACAGATGAGTAAATAAAATTAAGTAAATAAGTCTATAATTTGAATTTTAGATAAATATACATTTAGATATTTATATAAATTGTTTATAGTGAGAATCATGAAAATAGTTCCCTAGACCTAGTCTAGTCCATCACCCTTAGAAAGAATGAACAAATTAAACAGTAAATAATAATATTAATAAGTCATATACAGGTACATAGTTGTACCTTTAAATAATTGAATACATTCAAAGTCTTAAATTAACAAAAAGGTTGAAAGAAAATAATAAACTGATTAAAGCATTTTTGTCAATTACTTGGAGAAAAAAACTTAATCATACAAAGTCCGAATAGTAACAACAAACAATATATATATATATATATATATATATGTACAAAAAACAGCAACAAAAAACACACACATATGAAATGAAATTATAGTAGATATTTCGTCATTCCACTGACTTAGTAGAGCATTTTTTAATTTGGATTTAAATGTGTGTCTGTTCATTTAATTTTTGTTGTGCTAGGAAGCAAATCCCAATGGTGTGTTGCAGTAAATTTAATTGTTTTTTGGCATAAAGTTAGATTCATTTTGGGGATATAAAAACTATCAGCCATTGCTAGACGTGTTGCATAATTGTGGGGTATTGGGTCCAGATAATGATTTATTGTATGTGCAAAACGACAATTTTTTAGATCAAAAACAAATAGACATGTTTGAAGTTTACATAACTTGTAAACATCTAATATTCCAAGTTTTTAAAGAAGGGGGCAGTGTGAGCATGAATGTCGGAGAATGTGATGAGACGAACGGCTTTTTTTCTGGAGGCGCAAGATTGGTTCAAGGAAAGACGAGTATATGTTTCCCCAAATCTCTAAACAGTAAGGAATATGGGGAAGTATTAAGGAATTATACAGAAGAAGAAGAATTGACCTTGGAACATAATGCCGAATCCGTGAGATAATACCCACTTTCCTGGGGATTAGTCTGGTTAGTAAATCTATATGAGGTTTCCACGGTAAATTACAGTCAAATGTCACGCCTAAATACCGTGTGAAACAAACTCCCTCTATTAGTGACCCATTAATGACCAAACTGCCCTCTGTAGTAACTGTTCTTTGTGGTGACTTTATAATAATGTAGTTTGTTTTCTGTGTGTTAATAGTTAGTTGGTTAGCATTACACCATTCACAGACTTTCTGTGTGTTAATAGTAAGTTGGTTAGCATTACACCATTCACAGACTTTCTGTGTGTTAATAGTTAGTTGGTTAGCATTACACCATTCACAGACTTTCTGTGTGTTAATAGTTAGTTGGTTAGCATTACACCATTCACAGACTTTCTGTGTGTTAATAGTTAGTTGGTTAGCATTACACCATTCACAGACTTTCTGTGTGTTAATTGTTAGTTGGTTAGCATTACACCATTCACAGACTTTCTGTGTGTTAATAGTAAGTTGGTTAGCATTACACCATTCACAGACTTTCTGGAATTCGTCATTAATGTCAGAGAAATAGATTGTGTTGTCTTTGACAAATTTAAACAGAGTTGTGTCGTCTGCAAAAAGACGAAAATCGAAAACATCGCTGAAATTTATAATATCATTGATATAAACTAAAAATAAAATAGGGCCTAAAATCGATCCTTGTGGAAAATCAACACTTTATTTCGTTGAAAGAAGATAGTGTGTTATCATTATTGACTGATTGTTGTCGGCTGAAAAGGTAGTTTTCAAACCATAATGTTCAAGTTTGTGGAGTAAGATTTTGTGATTAATTGTATCAAATGCTTTTTTTCAGGATGATAAAAATTCCGAAAGTAATGCAGCCAGTGTCCATGTTATCTGCGATGTTGGTGACCAGGTCAGCTAGGGCGAGTTTAGTGTTATGTTTTTTGCGAAAACCGAATTGCGTGTTTGAAAGTATGTGATTTTTTTCAAGGAAACTTATGAATTGTTTATTCACAATCGATTCAAATATTTTGCTAAAGATTGGTAGGATTGAAATAGGGCGATAGTTACTGACCTCTGTTGGAGTACTTTTTTTTGTAAATGGGTGTAATCTTAGCAATTTTTAAGTCATCAGGAAAAACACCTTGAGTTAACAAACAATTAATAATGTGAGCAATGGGTCGGGCAATAATGTTAGCTGAATGAATTAATGTTTTAGGGTGTATTTCGTCATGTCCTGCTGATTTATTGGGATTATGAAATTTGATTTGATTGAAAACTTCGGACTCACTAACTGGGTGGAAAAAGAACGAGTTAATTTGACTCCCGGTGAGATATTGTCGAAAATAACACGTGTTCGTTATACTAGCGGCAAGGTTCGGGCCAATATTTGTGAAATATTTATTAAATTCTTCACCGATATCAAAACTTTTCGTTAAAGGTTTGTCGTTGGATGAATTTAATTCATGGGGGGGGGGGCTGACTTTGTTTTTGTTTTATTTAGGACCTCATTCATAACCTGCCATGTTTTATTTGTGTTCAAGCGGGTAACAACAAATTTAAAAAATAATTTGTGTTTTGTGCTGATTGATTTCAATAGTCCTCTAGTTAGCCAAGGTTTTTTAGAGTATTTGTTTCCCAACTTTTTTCCGTTCAAGATGCTTCATAGAAACAATATTAAATTTAACATAAAATTCTGGATAGGCAGTATTCGGATCAGAGCAGTCATAAACAGATCGCCATGAAGTAGTGCTTAAATCGGCCAAGAAGGCTTCTGAATTAAAGTTTTGGAAGTCGTATTTGTAAATATCGTTTTTTTTGTCTGAAAACATATATAAATTTTTAAGGATACCAAAAATTGAATAATGATCACTAATGCCCGTTAGGATCATGCCACTTTCAATAAAGTGATCAGTGATATTTGTTACTAAAGCATTTTGCTCTAGAACATAGAGCGTAGAGCACTGAATGAATATATGAATGGAAGTCAATGTATTGATAGGTGTTTTATTTTTACGGACCTATTTTCATTCACTAACGGCTATTCCTTTTCAGGAACCTGAGTTAAGATCCACAGTCACAAAACAAATTATCAGAAGTGACAAACAGTGCGTAGAACTGTTGCCTTGTAAACAAATTCAAAATTGTATCACATTAACCACTCACCTTTGCAGGTGTTCCACCAAGACCATTGGTATCACCGTCACTAGCTGTCCCTGTGGTCCATGTTATATTCCCATAATTAAATAAAGTAAACGAATGTCGTCCATTTGTTATCAGCACTGCTTGAAAAGTGTTTCTCTACAGAATTCAACATGGATTTTGTCATAAAGTCAATATGTATTTGCGTTCTAGTTGATATATTCGAATTTTAAAGACTTTTAACATCACGGCTTTGAATATAAATGTATTAAATTTACATATAATACTAACGGTTTATTTGATTCAGAAACAAAATCATCAATATATCACTATACTATAAATTAATAGCCCCACAAAATTTCCTCATCATATAAGGCGAACTAAATCAGCCAGACAAATAATCGTTCAATCACACACACAGTAATTCTGATCAACAAAAAATATAATACAGATAACTTACGGATTGGCTTTCATATCCTCCGTAGAAACTAACATCGTCCCATGTTGCTACTAACATCCATATTGATTTGAAGTGGGGTTGGTCTATTGTATTTGTGATTACATCGCGAGTAGCTCTTGCAAGTAGTCTTTCATCTGTCGTTTGTCGCCAGAACACATTTCCTCCATTTCGTGTGTCAACATCTGCCCAAAACGGTGCGACAACACGCCAGGTATCGCCCAAAGGAAATGGGTGCGGGGTATACTCTTCTATTCCCATTATAAAGGAAATGATACCATTGGTGTTTATCTAATGAATGAATAATGTAATGGCAAAGTTACGTTAATGCCTTGCTCCGTGACACTAATTTGAGGGGATTATTGGTACATACTTGATGCTCGCGCTTGTTTTTATTCGATGCCGATCCACGGTTCTCTGCCTCGGGGTTGTATGAAAACAATCCTGATTCCTATAGTGAAAAAGATCAGGTGACTTGACCTGAAAGGGTAACTACAGGCCTTTTGGCATTTCCATTGTCTCCTCTAAGATTTTAGAAACTATTATCTTAAACAGAATTCGTGGTTTCCTGAACACAGAAATTTGGGTTTAAACCTGGACACTCTACGGATATGTGCATTTATGCTATGAAAGAAATTATTAACTATTATCATTCGTATAATAGCCTTTTATATGCATCCTTTGTTGATTCCACCAAGGCATTTGACCGTGTCAACCATTGGTCCCTGTTCAAAAAGTTGTTTAACAGGGGTCTACCTGGTTAAATTATTCGCATTTTATTTGTTTGGTATCGTACTCAGCTGTTTACTGTTCGCTGGGGAAATTGCCATATGCTGAAATATTACCTTTGTGGTAGAAAAATAACACTAGATATCAGTAAATATTGGGCATAACTATAAAACAATGTGCGGAATTAGTCTTAACTAGAGAACTTGTGGTGGACTGGCTACTCAGGCTCTTGGTGTTTATTGTTTTATTAAGGTGAGTGTCCAGATGAGTTTCTTACTGACTCATTCAACAATTTTTTTACCTATAGCAGCAAGCTTTTAGAGATCGGATAAAACCTTATAAGAAACTAGTAAATTTAAACAATTGATTATGAACATGTGCAAACAACTACACAAGTGTAATAAGAACATGTATAGGTAACAGCGCACGTGAGGGCATCGTCTGAAACAACTCCAATGTCATGTGGTGTTACACTGTATGCTTCAATTTAATTTAATGTAGTAATATGCCTAGTGTTTGAACAGAGGTAAATGCAAAATTAATGGTTCAATAATACAATGTTAAATTTTATCGAAAATCAAAAACAATTTCGAAACAGAAATGTAATCGAAACGTAAAAAAAACAATAAGATCCAGCGGACATAGAAGGATAAGGAAAAAGGAATAAGAAGCATAAGCAATAAGCATGTGGGCGGCACATGCATCGTGATAGCGATGGTACTACAATGATCGCTCTGTCCCATGTTCTTACACTATTTAGTGAAAAGTATAATAAAACAAGGATAAACCGTAGATGTCTTATGATATAAAAGGTTTTATATCGAGCACGTGACAGTTATGACTTTGAATAAATAATCTGACTAAAACTAGTAGTGATAAATATGTTTTATAACGTACTCTAATTTTTGATCTACTTCGTGTCTTTTACTGGATTTTGGAATAAATCATGTTCAGAATTAATTCATGAATGAATCCTAATGCAACATCAACAATACCGTCAAATAACAAATACGAAAATATAGAGTAATGTAAGCACCGAGATTTTTTAAAGTAGTATAGCGTCACCAGTCTGAATATACACTTACAAGTATATGAAAGTATTCCCTTGGCTATATGTATCGGAAATACAACTAGCCGAGCTTGATGTCTATTTAGGATTCTGCCTGCAAATAATTTAGCCAATCATAGTACGTTAATTTTAGCCAAAAACCAACCTCATTAATAGTTATTTACCTATCAGCTCGTCCCCCTATTACCCAATCATGTACCAGGCCAAAGTCACTTTCCGCCAAAATGCAAGGAATGTAAACTTGTGTATATAAGTGGGTGCTTTGACACACCACGGCAGGAGTTTCAATAAAGTCATCTGTTATAGTGTACACCAGTTCGTCTCTTGTTATCCACCCCTGAACCTTATACACAATATGAGCAATCACAGTGGTGATTGCTGCCCGAATTTTATTTTGATTTTGCGCGTGTATTTCCTTGTTTTTTCTGGGTTTTGGGTTGGTTGGTGGTTCGTCGTCCGGGAGAAATGTGTGACGCTGTCTGGGTTGAATTCGGAGTATGTTGCTTAGATTTGAGAGTACCTTCTGGGAATCGCATAGGTGATATTTGAACTGCTCAACAATTATTTACGCAAGTCACTGTATGTTGTTTTCATCACTTTATAATATGACACACATCCAGAGTTGCACGTTCCGAGGCCTAATGTACATCAACGCAAAGTGGTGAGCCATACTGAATTCACTCGGTCTTCGAACCAACTCTCTCGTTGTCCTCTACTCAACTTGACTACTCTAACCCTGACTATTTAGTAACTAACTGTCTAACCGTCCTAACTCGTAAAGTTGCATTGTGGGATGTATCGTGTTACCTTGAGATCACTACGCTCTCTTGCGTAATCATGCGAAATGGGGTGCGCCCGCAGCGACTGAGTTAAATACAATTCGGGCCGCAATCACCACTGTGAGCCAAGGGAATACTTTCATATACTTTTAAGTGTATTTCAGACTGGTGACAATAGCGTAAAATGTATGGACGAAAGAACGACATTCGCAAAGGGTGGGTGTCAAGACATTAATATATGAATGGTTTGGCAGATTTCAAGTCAAATAAAAATCAAACGTGTTCTTTTCTAAGATATCAATTATTTTCATCACAAAGTGCCTTGGTATTATCTAATATAATTCGCACTAGTATAGCACGTATACGATAAAGGTCGTATATAAACTTATAATCGAATCAACATATGTGACGTACGATACTATTCATAGAGTAATTTGGGCATTGTTTACAAAGTAAGTACAGTGTAAGAAAATATTTATGTATGATTAGCGCATTGCTCTATGTTATGTAAACCTTACCCATAAAGAATCATGGAACGTTTCAAAAAACGGGAACGGGATCGATATAAACTGTTCACCAGAGCTTCCATCATCATTAATTGGATTTGTTTCATCACCAATCTCCGGTCCATATGGGTAGAATATTTCTGTAAATTCAGTTGAGAGTGAAAGCTTAATATGTGCATGTAATGATATTGCATACGACGACGGACATCGAATGACAAATCACGCAGCCCGAGGAGCACTGACGGGCAACCTATGAATACGAAAATGTTTTCTGTACTACAAAGGTTGTACCTATGTAATTAATAATTGGATTAAATTAAGTTAAGCCGCAGTCTCTCTATCCCCGGTCTGGAAACGACTAGCGTTTTTTTGTCTCGATCCGCGGTGCGGGTAAACAAACCGTTCACACCCGGGCCGAGGGAGTAAGGACGTCAGACAGATTACAATACCGTCAAAATATTCATTAAAATCGGAAAATTTACCGTCATGCAAAGCAATACCTCATTGTATGACTTCACTTTGACTTCAAATTCGGGCAACCACAACGTAAACAAACATGTAAACAAAATTATCACTATGAAATTTGATTTTTTTTAACGGTGATGCGCATCAAAACCAGCCTACCAGCTCATAAACATCCAGTTCCTACAAAGTAAAGATTAATATCGGGAATTATATTCATCTTCTAGTTTTAATAGGGGAAAAACTTCGCGTGCCAACATGCTGACATCGCTAAACAAATCTTGTCAAAATGGCGTCGTTCATGTTAACGTGATCGATCGATAAACCTGTGATATATCTGATTCCTGGGGGTTCATAACAGTTCAAGTCAACTATACAACAACTAATGACTTTATTCTATGCAAAAGTATATAACAATGCTTCAATGCTTGTATATAAATGATTTTTTTTAGCACAGAATTGATTACATTGTCATTTCAAAACGTTGCAATTTGCATTTAAGATCTAAAAAGCATCCATAAAAGTCACTCAATTTAACATTAATAAAATGCGGTGTGACAAATAACATATCAGCCCACCAATTTTTAATGATATGTTTCGATCATAAAATGTCAAATTTGAAGACAAATATTGGTTTCGCGCCGAGAAGTATGGTAAATAAAATAGAGTTCATTTCAATCACCCCAAAATCAAAAACGACACAAATCTGGGAAAAAGTATGAAAATTTGTTGCGAAAATGTGTCGCTGCTGGTATAATAGATGAATTGGAGAACTACTCGCCGGCAAAATATGACCTTATACAGATATCCTGATTATAAAATTATGTAAAAAAGCACGAATTCTGGAATAAACAACTAAGTTGTAAAAAAATACATAACACTGACGATGTAAAAGTAGTGGTCGGCTGCGTACTGATCACGTGACAATGCTTTTCCCAACCCCGCAATGCGCCTTTGCCAGGGAAGGAGGCCAATTTCCAGACCGGGGATAGAGGGACTGTGGTTAAGCAAAGAAGTCACCATGTGCAGTAGTTACACGGTGATTGTAACAATTTAATCTCATGTTTACGATTTGCCCATTGATCGAAAAAACTGTCAATTATCTGTTTAAACATTTCATCGCCAATGTTATTTAAAAAGTTACAAATGTGTAAATACTAGCTAAAACAAGGAAATGTCAATGTAAGGTTCACATATCGTGTGATTCACTAGTCCATGGCGTCATCAAAATTTCAAGATCATTGACACCAATTAGTAATGAATGGTTTTGAAGACAATGCCGTATTTTCACATCTCACTTATAAGGTTTACGATTTAACACTATGGTGTGGTAGATTCCCGTAAAAACTTTTTTATCGCAATGTTAACAGTTTTTTGTTCACTTACGTTGCCACTTGACGATCGACAAAGACCAAATTATAATTACAAACGTGGGAAAGCATCAGGCTATATAAGTAATGCACTTAAGTAAGCCGTATAGTTCCTAAAATAAACTATTGCCGTAGAAATGTATACTGGATCACTCAATATTACTGTACCACTAATTTGCTATAGCCCTGATATAGAAACATTGTAAAGGATAAGTGTATTATAATCTGTTTGGGTGTGTTCACCTTTCACATCGTCTAACATTACCACTTTATATGTATTATTATTATATTTATAATAACTTACCGTATTCTTTAGAGCAAGGGTTGTACTCGGAAATAGACGGATTATATGACTGACCATATGAGAAGAATACCTTGCAGTTTGTCCTCATTCTCTTCTCTGTTGCTATGACGATAATGAATACCATTATTAGCAATGATATTAATATATACAATTCTTTTCCTGTAAATAATATAACACGATAATATAGGAACACAATAATACCATCTTACCGACGGTACCTAAATGTTCAGAATTCCAGACATTTTCGTTGTCTAAATAAACTACCGCAACCTTAGTCCATGAACTATTCGGATCATTAATCAGATGTTTCACATCATCAGTAAGAGTTTTACCCACAGCGGCATCTACAAGTGATGTTTTCACGTCTAGAGAGTACATGCTAAACATTGGTATTTCATTCTGGACGCGTTCAATGTGTCTGGGAAGATTAATCACCTATCAAAAACAGTAAATACACATTAATCTCCTACTCATTGTTTCCGGCATTGTGTTGTTTGTTAATTAATAAACAAGATAATTATGATTAATGTACCAATTTCATATTTTTTTAGAACAGGTTGCATTCGGGAAAAGATAAATATCTTGGATCTTAGTGAAAGAGACCTGTTGCCATGAAATATGAGATTTTAGATAGATCCTTCTCCAGTGTACAATCACCCAACAAATTTTGACGATTTTTGATGAGCTAGAACCACAGTCCCTCTATCCCCGGTCTAGAAACGGTCATTGTATTAGGTGTGAATTGGTCTCCTTCCCTGGCAAAGGCGCATTGCGGGTGTGGGCAAAGCATTGTCACGTGATCAGTACGTGA